GCCGTTCCGGGCATTTGAACGCGACCTTCGGGGGCAAAGACATGGGCTCTATGGCTCAGACTGGACTCCTCTTGGTCGCTTCTGATGCCCTAGGCCACACACCTGGGCCTTACCTGGAGCTGGGTTTGCCCCCCCCCCAACTGGCCCGAGGGACCTTAATTTTGATGGCGGGAGGGCTGTTTTCCTTCTTTCTTCTTTCTGGCACGACAAGGGCGCGGACTGGCGCACTCTAGCACACACATCTGTGTCTTGTTTTGCCAACAACATACCTACACACACATCGGAGAGAGAGAAGTACATCGCCATCTCGCTGGCCTCTTCGCAAGGCCTCCCGACCGCGTCGAACTCATCGACGCGGGCTCTCTCGGCTACGGGACTGGCCCCAGGCCCAGCTTCGGCTGAGGGCTGACAAGCTGCCGAGTCCAAATCACTGTGAGAGTCGTGATTTCTTGTTGGTTTTCAAAAATCTCTCTCACATCGGCACTCCACACCAGAAAAAGAATTCTTAAAATACAAGCCTCTAAAAAGAAAAACCAACGCGCAGGATTTGAGAAAAGGCGACGTGGAAGTGGCGGCGAGGGCGGGGGGGCGGGGGGGGGGGGGGGGTAAAGGTACTAAAACCAAAATAAAGTGTGGTCATGCCAATGGCAATGCTGGCCGCTGCTGAGCAATGAATGGGTTCTGCAGGAGGGTTCATGCCGGTGGGGGTGTATCGTCCGTCCCGCACCCTCGCCTCGACGCAGCGGCGGCTGTATATGGCTCGTATATGGCAGGGGGCGCAGAGAGGCAGCGGCGAGGATCGCCGGCCGCGCGCAGCCGCCGGCGCAACGGCAGGTCTTCGCCGAGCGCTGGCCGCCCAGGCAGGACGCTTTTGGGCTGTCGGCGGCCGTGTAGGCAGGGGAAGCTGCGACCCTCCGGGCTCACCATCTCGAGCATTGGGAGGGACGTACCAGGGGCCGCTGGACTCAGCGGCGGACAACCTTGTGGAAAATAGATAGATAGATAGGAAGGCGAATGTGGTGGAGGCGAACGGAAAAGAAATACGACGTCCAACTGGCGAAGTAAAACGCGCGTCCCCAGATGTAACCAAAATATGGTGTCGCGGTCGACTGCAGCAGCTGCGATCCCTGCAGGACAACCAGAATATGGTGTCGACTGCAGCAGCTCCCCGTCCCTGCAGGACAACCCTACGTTGACGACTCGGTCAAGCATCTCGCGGGTGGGCTGGTCCGTGGGTCTCAGCAGCGCTCAGCGTTCCCGAGTGCGGTCGGCGGTGGGAACCGCTGTGTCTGGCCGCGATCAGCGCTCCGCCGTGCTGGCTCGTCGGCACGCGAGAGCGATGGAGGCGCGGCTGAGCCTTTTGGCGGAGCAGCTCGAGAGGGAGGAGGGCGAGGCGGGAGATGTGAACGTGTATGGGGTCGCGCTGCTGCAGTCCATCGTGCGGCCAAAGCTGAGGACGAGGGTCGCGTGGCTCGCCGGCGCTCTCCTGCTCGCGCTACTTGAGGTGCTCTCGCTGCAAGCAATCGCGTTCAGCACCGGCTACAAGATGTGCGTCTACGATGACGAGTGCCCGTTGGGCACCGCCTGCGTGCGCGACTCCTCCAGCAGTCACGCCTTCTTCTGCGCCGACTGCAGAGAAGTTCAACACGTGAGCACCACCGGCGAGCTGGGCCAGCCAGAGTGGGCTCGGCTCGTCGCGCGGCTGATCGGCACGGGTCGTAAGGGAGCGATGTCAACGTTCACCCCGGCACGCACAAACGACCGCTGGCCAGTGGCGGCGAACTCGAGTGAGTACTGCTCGAACTTCCTCGCCTCGGAGTTCGTGTCGGCGTGGAGAGGGGGGCGGTACTCCGACTTTGAAAAGTGCCTTCACGTGCAGGAGGCGCTGCGCCGCTACGGCATCCTCGACGCGCTGGTGACGATGGTTGCGCTCTTCCTCGTGTGCCTATCCATCTCGGCGGACCGCAAGCAGCAGCTGATGAACCGCCACCTGCGCGAGACGCTGCTGCCGCCACCGTGGCGAAGCTGGCGCGCGTTCGTTTTGCGAGTGATAGAGGGCTGCCTCGACGCGCAACTCCCAGGGGTGTGCTTTGCGCTCATTCTGCTGATCACCGAGGCCGACAGCATGCAAGCGTCATCGACCCTGCTGAATGGCGTCGCCGTGGTATTCATCCTCGTCATCGACGATGAGCTGCCAAAGGTCGTGCTCTCAGCCGTCGACAAGGATGCCGTCGACCAGTTTGCCGCCGCAGCCGGCCATTTCGAGCTCCTCCTCATCATCAAACGGCAGAGCCTGGCGCATGGGAGCGTCAGCTTTGCCGCGCTACTCGGGATGTTTATGGTATGCCTGCACCTGCCCTGCGACGACTTGGTCATGGCCGCGTTTGGAATCTCGACGCTCCTGCCCTTTGCGACCCGGATCGCGGAGGAGATCTGCGGCGTCCAGCTTCGCGCCACCCGATCCGCGCTGGCAGTGTCGGAAGACGAGGGGCGCTTCTCGATGGCCCATCCTCTGCGCGGCAGCGGGATCGCTGGAGCCGTCTGCTGGGCTCTGCTGAAGGGGCTGTTCGATGGCCTGCTCGCGAGCCTGTGCGTGGTGGGGGCTGCTCGAATCGCCTCGGAGACGTACCTGGTGCTCTTGAACCCCAGTGATCGGATTTAGAATGAGTATAGACCGCGGCCGCGTCGGTTTTTTGCTTTATAGAAGACTCTTGGGGGGGGGGGGGGGTATCTCTGGGTACCGATTGCTCGCAGGTCCAGCCAGGAAGTCCAGGTAGCCTTACTAGCGGGGTATACCTTACACTCCTCTCCCCAGGGACCAGAGCCCCCCCCCCCCCCCCGCCCC